TATTTTTTGGTTGCAGCCGTCATTGTTGTTTGGCGGGTCCGGGCTGGGGATTCGAACCCGCCACCTTAGGTGTACGTGGCTGGCGCCTTAGCTGGTTGAGCTATAGTTGCCGAGCCGAATTTTTAATTTCTAAGAGCTTTTTAAAATCCTTTTCTATAGCATCCTGCTTTTTTCATGAATGTTGTATCTTCTTTTAGCTCCCTGAGACTATGAATAAAATTTTATGAAAGTTTCCCCTTCTTTGCATAGCTTTTTTCTATTTGCTTTTTTTTTTTTTCTGTTTAACTTTATTTTGTCCTTCTTCTTCTATTATAGGCTTTCCTCAGATATCTAAGAATCTTTGGCTGTCCGAAAATGATTGGGAGTAGGAGACTAGCTGGATGCAGTGGCTCACACCTCTAATCCTAGCACTCTAGTAGGCAGAGGTGGGAGGATCATTTGAGCCCAGGAGTTTGAGGTTGCTGTGAGCTTGGAATGATGCCACTGCACTCTAGCCTGGCAATAGAACAAGACTCTGCCTCAAAAAAAAGTAGACTAGCTAAGCATGATGGCTCATACCTGTAATTCCATCTATTGAGGGGGCTGAAGCAGGAGAATTGCTTGAACCTGGAGGTTCAAGGCTGTCATGAGCTATAATCCTGCCACTGCACTCCAGCCTGGGCAACAGAATGAGTCTTTGTCTCAAAAAGTAAAGGAAGAGACTAAAAAGCTGATTGGAAGTTCTGAGCAAGTAGGAGGGGTCTAGAAACTTAAATCTTCCCTGTAGGGTGACTGGGTAGTCACTGTTGGGAATTGCCAAGTAAGTTTCTTTAGTTCCTTCCTCTTAGACTAGCTGGATTCCCCAATGAAAAGTTTTCTGGCAGTTGTGCAGACTATAGGGTCGGGTGAGTTCTCAGCTTATGTAAGGCATTTATCTTATAATATGTGGCTATTACATTTTTCTATTTTCCTTAGATTAGTCAGTCCTGCCTTCAACTATGATGGTTTACCCTCAGGGCAAAGTTTTATATTTCCAGACAATGAACTTCACCTTTGGCTGTAGTGGAGAAGGGGCAGACAGCCTGTGGCATTGAGTGGGGGAAAGATTCCAGACATCTATTTTTTAAGCATCTTAACCTTTCCTCCTTCCTCTTTGCCAGAAGTTCCAATGGTACATGAATGGTACATTCTGTGTCTGTGTGTGCATGTGTGGTAGCTTCTGTGTCTGTGTGCATGTGTGGCAGATTCTGTGTCTGTGTCTGTGTCTGTCTGTGTGTACCTCTTTGTCAGTACTTGTGTCCTTTGGGGATTTTCTGGTGTTAAAAGATAGTTCTCAGTTTTCCCCACTATTGGTGAGGATTTAGCTATGGGGTCTGCTCTATTAGTTTTTACATGTCCATCTGCTTTACAACTTTTAAAATGTTGTTGCTTCTATTGCTCTCCTGCCTGTACTCCCCAACTGTATGATTTTATATGCAGTGGAACCTCCATAGCTGACCACCTACCTACACTGACCACCTCCTCAAGGTGACCTGATTTTCAGAGAGTGAATGTGTTCCACAGGTCCATGTCAGTACGGTAGGCCTAGTTCCTTATGTTGACCACTTCTGTATGTTGGCCAGTTTGTTACAGTCTTGTGAATGGTCAACTTATGGAGGTTCTACTAATTTTGATTTAAAGATCTTTTAGGTGTAGTTTCAGTGGATCTGGGGAAGGACCTGACAATGAACGGCATGTCCGTTCTGCCCAGGAGCCTCCTTCTCCTTTGCCGGGCATGTCCCTGCTTATCTTTGAAGGCCCACCTTGAAGGGCTTGCGCCCTGGAAGGTGATCTGCGGCACTACCGGGGAAGTGCTTCCTTCCCTCTCCATGACACAGTTTCTTTGCTCACACCTCTGTCTTTCCAACAGAATTGTGACATCTCCAAGGACAGGGTACACACCTGACACATTGTGCCTCTCTAGAGCTGGCACAAAGAGAGTGTTCAGTACATATTTGCCACATGACCACAGTGACCACTGACTATGCTGGTGCCAAAATCAGTAT